GAACTGGGAGGAGTGGGGCTGTGGAATGGGGAACACTTCAGACCTGAGCCTTAGGGAACTGGGAGGAGTGGGGTTGTGGAATGGGGAACACTCTGGTCACAGAAGAAAACAGCCCATCAGTAAAATTAAAATCTGCCGAGTCTTCATATGCTCCAGGAGTTCCTCTAGAGAAGCCTGCACAGAACCAATGAGATCTGAAACTATGCTTCCCTAAATATAGCAAGCGATGCTATTAATACAGCTCCACATTATAGATAAAAGACCCCAGGCTGGAGCCTGAAAATAACCTGCCTAAGGTTGTATTCTGGGAAGTGGCAGAGCCAGGATTTGAACACTGGTTTCTGACTGTTGAGATGTATTCTATCATCTATTCAACTATAACCTGTGAGAAACTACACATGTCTAAACTGGAAGTAAAAGCCAGAATGGTGTGCAGTGCAGCCCGGGAGGAAGTCAGCCAGAGCAGGGTCGGGGATTCATTCTCCCAGCTGGAGCCTAGCTAGCCCAGAGGAGCCGACTGCACAGCGAAGGCTCCACAGAACCGGGTAACGGAGCTTAGAGAAAGGGAATCCGCAGAGTGAGTGCTGAACCAGCCGCTACCCAGATAGTAGCTCGCCCTTCTATTTAAGCTGCTTTCCTCTTGCAAATGGGGTTTATAGCCTACCCCCCACCAACAGATATTTGGGTATCTTTCACGAGGCACACGCTGTTCTGGGCAGTGGAAATTCCACAGGGAATAAAACGGACAAGGTCTCTTTTGTTAGAGAGCTTAAAACAACCTTCTCCCTGTGTGACCTCGCTTACCCTGAAAATGCCAAGGGAACAACAGGTGGCTGTGCCACACTGCAGCAGCAGGGCATCTGCTGAGAGGCCCCCACCTTTGTCCTGCTCAGGCCACCAGACCACCACAGCCACCAGCCAGTGTCACCTCTACGGGATCCCCAACCTAAGGAACCTAAAGGAGGCACTTATCTGCCATCAAGAGCTTTCTCGGGGGACATGCTGTGCCTTCTAGAGTGTCCCAGAGCGGGCCACTCCTGCTGTGTCAGCACAGCCACCCAGGGCCCTGTGGGCTTTGGCCTCCAGTTCAGCCGTGGACCAGGTCATGGGAATTTTCCCTCTAAGAAGAATGTTTCTCCATTCACATTCCACTCTGCAGGACTGATTGCAATGCAAAGGGGATCAGGAAAAAACCCAATACACAGCACTTGATGAGAAGCCCAGTTTCCAGATCTCACAGTCTCCCTTCCTCTGAGGTCCCACACATGCCTGTTTCCACTAGACATGTGCCGTAAATGGTTCTGAGTGAGTGTCAGGGGAAGGAGGCCCCGGGAGCCATGTGTGCTCTCTTTTCCTAGTCCTTAAGAAGTCTCTGACCATAGTACACAGGCAGCCAGAAGGCTGAGGTGGCCAAGATCGCAGACCCCCAAACCAGGGTCTATTGGAATCCCCTCAGACCTCCATCTCAACCTCACTTCAGGTCTCCTTAACAGTCTGTTTCCTTGTCCCCAGCGTGCCCCTCTACAGGCTGAGCCAGCTTTCCCTGCCAGCTTCCCTCCCACGGAGTCTGAGGCGGCAGAGGGTGTGTGTCTGCAGCTTTAGAAATCTGGACTCTTTTCCATCCTGGGCCACGTCCTGTGGGGCACGATCAAGGACAGATAATATGAGCCCTGGGCATTTCATGGGACTGAAAATGTAATTCAAATTCCTGGACTTGGACTTACTCAGGCTCCCCTCCCCTCATACACCCCCTCCCGCACACACACATGCACACACGTATACCACACACACACACAGAGACACACAGAGAGACACACACCGTACACACACACACACACACACACACACACACACTCACAGCCTTCTTCACTTGTGT